GAACGTGGTCCTCCTGGCCAATGCCATCAAAGGCTCCTCCAGAAAAGCTCCGTTTGCTTTCTCTTGGGTTTTCATAGCTCAGAGCTGGGCACTGCAAGCGCAAAGCAGCTCCTTGGGCAAAGGGAGACGTGGTCTGGCCAAGGGGATCGGCTGGCTTTGTCCTCCTTACGTGGAGGGGGCCACCTCACGTCAAAGCAGGTGCTGGCCGGGCCGCGCTGGGGTCAGCGAGCGGATGAGCTGCGTCGGGGCTCTTATCTCTTGCCTGGAGCAGAGGCTGGAGAGGCATTTCCCAGCCCGCTGCCCCAGCCAGCACTGTACTGGTTTTCATGGGCTCCTGCGATAGTTGCAGCCCTGATCTGACTGCGGCTCCTGACAGAGGGCAAAGTCCTCTTTGGTGGGGCCAAGAGAGGACGTTCGGCAAGAGCAGCTGCCTTTCCTGGGGTGTCACCTCCATCACCACATCATCCCGGGGAGAATCCCCTGGGATTCTGTTTCTTGTCCGAAACTGGTGATTTCTCAGCCCGAGGGCAGGTGGGACGGGTCCAGCCAGGGCGCTGCGGCTCCGTGGGGCAGCTTTGCGGAGCAGAGCATGCCGGGAGCCGCGCGGGGTGGGCAGGGAGCGGCTCGGAGGTGGCAACAGTGGGAGGAAGAGAAGGGTGCGGAGTCTGGAGATGGGAGGGTTTGAGAGGAGCAGCCAGCTCGCACCCCTCCGTCGGTGCCGTCTCTGCAGGCAGAGGTGGGTGGTGGCGCGAGGGGCCGTGACTCGGCGGGGTTGCGTGTGCTTGAGACCCCCGGAATGAGGGTGTTTGCTTGCAGCTGAGTGTGGCCGTGGCGTATCGAGATGAGTTTGGGCCCACGGGGACTCAGAGCTCTGTCAAAGAGCTGTAACGTGGTGACAGCCACTCCTGGGCTCTGGTGAAACCCGGGCTCTGGTGTTGAGAAGGGCTCTGCTGGGGCTGCAGCACTGTCCCCCCGTCCCCCCTCCGGTTTTGGGGGTGTTTTCTTTCGGATCTGAAAAGTGCTTTTAAAGCCACCTCGGTTATAGACTTGTAGCAAAGTCTGGCACCTTGTTTTCCTCCTCCCTCGTCATTAATGCTGCGCACCGGCCCTCGGCAAGGTAAAACATGGGAATGCCAACTGCTGCCGCTTGGTCGAGGTAAGGCGCTCGATCCAGCAATGCCTGGGGTGGGGTCCTCTCCACAGCCCCCATCGGGCACGGCCCCGTTCCGATGGGATTGTGCTGCACCAGCTTCAGAGGGACGCAGCCATCCAGGATGGCGTTTGCACAGCGTCCTTGGGTGGGGGCCTGTGGAGACTCATCTGAAGTATTTCGTACTGGTGCGGATCATTCCCCCAGTTGCAGGTTGCCGGTTAAACCACCTGTGTCGTGCGGTTCGAGTACATCTGGCTCTCAGGAGGCCTTTGGAGGGCTTGGCCATAGGGTGTCAGCGTCTCCCCAGGCGTGGGCAGGAGCAGCCTTGGCTCAGCCACCTCGCCGGGGCGCAGATGTGATGGAGGACAGGGGTCCGACCGCTGTGAGGTCTCTTCACCAGTTCCTGCTGTTGCAGACCCGTAGCTCGCTGTGCTGTGCGGGTTTAAATGCTGTACTGAACCCCAGCCCGGGGAGGCTGCCCATCCTTCACGGTCAGGGCTTTTAGGATCTGCTGCCTGGGAGCCCCGCGGCCGAGGGGTGGCTTAGGTGGAGTTTGGGACTGGGGGCAGCGGCAGGACGGGTTGGTCCCTGGCTGGGGCCATGGTGCTGTCCCGGCTCTGCTCCCACCACGTCCCCGATGCGCCCGTCTGGGAGCGCTCACCGGTGTGTCACGATGACGGAGGCTCCTCGCGCTGAGCAGTGCAAGCGCGGTTCCTGGTGCAGATGCCAGCACGTGGCCTCGGGCAAGCGGCTTCCCCGGCTGATGCCTCCTCTTCTGCAAGGTTTCCCCACGCGCTCTGCGGGCGGGCAGGGAGGGGAGCCAGCTCCCCCGCTGCCCCAGACCTGCCACCGTCCTCTTTATGCCAGGATTGGAAAAACCAGTTCCGACCCGTGGTGCATTTTGCTGTGCCACGGGTGGCCCCAGCGTGGGCGCGGTGGCCCCCGGCAGCGTCCGGCAGCCACGGGTCATTGTGTTGTTCCTGCCCTGCTTGTTTGAGGAGGGTGGAGCTGGCCAAGCCAGGCACCCCTTTTATTTTTAACCCAGGTTTCTGGCTTTGCCCCTAGGAAGGGTTCGCAAGGAGCAGCCGGATAAACTCTTCCTCCATTTTGCGCTACCGTAGCATCAGTTCGGTCCCACCGGTGCAGGCAGCGTGGTGGAGCGGGGCGAGGAAGAGCCTCCCTGTGCTGTGCTGTGCCCCCTGCGGGACGTGGCTCCTGTTTGCAGCTCCTGGCAGCTGCCGATGCCTTTGGATCTCGAAATTGCCGCTTCCTGCTGCAAAGGGCGAATTCCGGACCTTGGGTGTGAGACTGGCGTCCGCGGGAGGCACCGGCAGAGCCCCGCCGTGGCTCCCAGCCCGGCTGCCCTCCCCTGCTGCCACCGTGCTCGTCCCTGTTTGCCAAGCAGCAGAGCAGGGGGAGAGCTTATAGCAGGTACCAGAATAAATCAGGAAGGGAAACGGGGGGGTCACGAGCACCTCGCTCCGGACAGCCTCGCAGAAGCTGGCACATGCTTCAAAAAGCTTCAGCTTTGATGGTCGCTGGTTCTGCCCTGCCCCAGTGACCGGGCCGTTGCTTGCCCCACCATATGCCCCCAGCCATAAATACACCTTCCAGTTGTTGTCCTAAATTAGGAAAAGCCTGGACAAACCCTTCTCCACCCACATTCCTCCTCTGCGTGTCCCCACAGCCGCTCAGCGGCTTCCCCGGCTCCGGGGAACGGGGCAGCTCTGTGCCATCCCCAGCCCTGCCTCTGCCTGGTCGCACGGAAGGTTGAGTTTGGGCTCGTCCCGCTGCCCAGTCCCTGGGGCAGCGCAAGGTGGGAGGAACATTTTTTTCCTTGCAACAGGTGCTTGGAGGGGGCCTTCAAATGCTCGCAGCCTGGCGTGTATGAAACACAGAGGGTTCCCCCCCTTAGGAGGGAGATCCCAGCAGGTCTCCTGCCTCCCCAGCTCTACCTGGCTGCTTATCTGCCTGCTCTTCTCCCAGATTCCCCTCCAACCTGCCTGTTGCCGTCCTGGGACCTGTGCAGGGAGCAGGTAGGGCACGCGTGGGGCTGCCAGCACCCCAAGGCAGTCCGGAGCCGGGCAGGGGCCGCGCTGGCTGGTGCGAGCTGCTTTCGAGGTTTTCCGAGGAAGTGTCCGGAGAGGCCGATGCCATCACCCGTTGGCTCCCTGGATGTGGCTGTCGGAGGGGTTAGTGCTGCCAAAAAGCCGAGCTGTGACACGCAGGACAGCTGCTGCTCTCTTATTTTGACAGTTTTTTACTTCTCATTATTTGTGATGCTTAACGCCCTGGTAAATGCACCATGCTCGAGCCTCTATTGCACGGCCCGCGTTGGGGTTCTGCTCTCCGGCTGCTGGCGGGTGTGGGTTGATTTGCCCGGTTGGGACAGACCTGCCTGAACGTCCTGCGCCACCCCAGCCCCGGCTGAGTCCCTTCAACCTTCCGGGGCTTTCCCTTCTCCAGCCTTGCGGCTGGACAGACGACACCCG